AAGAACGGAGGCCAGCTGGCTGAGGATGCACAGGAAGACGCAGAAAAGGCTCAAGATGAGGCAGATGCTGCTGAAGAGGTGGGGGACCTGCTCTGCCTGTTTTAAAATAAACCTTTAAGTTAACAAAGAATCATCTGGGGCTGAGGTTATAGCTGTTGGTGTTCTTTATTCTACTAAACTCAAGTGTCTCAAATACTTGGTCACACCACTTACATTCGTATCAACGTCAGCGGTGGAAGAGTCCTCAGCTTTTACTCTTAGGTCAAAGTAACAATACCACTGTAGAAACAATAATATATATGTTATCACCGGATTCCAATGAATGATCTATTAACTGTACAATACAATTTACATTTTGCAGCTGATATTTTACATTACATTTTTGTAACAAGATTTTGTACCTGCAAAGTAACTAATATTGTCAAATAAATGTAGCGGAGTAAAAAGTAGAATGTTTATTTTCCAAATTGTAGTAGAGTAGAAGTATGAAGTAGCAGGAAAAGGAAATACTCAATTTAAATATAAGTACCTCATATATGTACAGTACATGAGTAAAGGTACAAAGTCACTTTCCACCAATGAGTAATGTACTATAAATCCTGAAATGAGCTGAAACGTTTTTTTTTCATTTGCAAATGTCTGCTGTCAGGGTACGTCATTAAGACTTTCCCGGTAAGGAATTTGTTGAAACATTTAGGAACGCTGTTAATGTTGCTGGGTATTGTTGGAGAATTCAAATATGTGTGTGTTTCTGTGTGTGTGTTTGTAGGACCTGGTGCCTTTGGAGGAGAAGCTGCAGCAGCTGAAGGACAAGGCTGCAGCCAAGGGCCCGGAGGGGGGGGCAGGGCCCACGGGGGACAGGCTGGCCAAGTTAAAGCAGGACGCTGGAGATCTGGCCAACACCACCGACACAATGACCGAGGCTCTGGAAGGTACTGTAGAGTGCTGGAAAGTAACAAGTACATTTACTCAAGTGCCATGCACTGAACACTGAAAAAACTTCAATTAAATGTTTTATGTCAACACATTTCACATAACTGTATTAGGTTACATACTTGTACTTTACTTGAGCATTTCCATTTAATGACACTTTATTCTTCTACCCCACTACATTTTGGAAGCAAAGATTGTACTTTCACTCCACTACATGTATTTAACACTAATAGTAACTATTTACTTTTAACATATTAAAACATGTGATTTGCTTATATGATATGATGCAGTACTGCACTACCAATATACAAAATTCAAACCAGTATTTTCATTTTACGTATCTTAAATTGGCTTCACATTGACAAACTACAACATTAAAATGCCCTGATATGTATTTGTTAGTGATAAAAACAGGATATTAAATATAATATCAAAAATAGAATATTGTGAAAGGACTTTTACTTTTGATACTGTAAGTAGCGGTACATATTGTTTCTGTACTTCTACCTAAGTAAAATTTCGCACTTAAGACATCTACTTCCAGAGTATTTCTAGTAGTAAATCTGAGTACTTCTTTCACCTCTGGTAATGCAGCACACCAAACCACCAAGTGAGTGGTTCAACTTTTAATTTCATTAACTTTTTAGTAATGTTAGTCACTCTCAAATAAGAAAACTTTATAAATAAGTCTTCCTGTCTGCTGAGGGAGGATTTGAAACGTTTCACCATTAAGCTGAATGTCATTTCACCGGGTGAATGTGAGATGCTTGATAAATACACCTGAACTCTCCCCTCTGATTCTAAGAGGTTATAAGTAATGACTGATCTACATGCAGTTTGTCCCTAAGTCTCACTTTTGGCCTTCTGGATATTGCCAGAAATAAACATATTTGTACTTTTTTTTGTTTTTCCATTTGATGCTACTTTATACTTCCACTGCACACAAACGTTTAGAACCAAATGTCCTACTCTATCCTGTAAAGATCCACTAAATTCATTTGAACACTCATAGTTACTGGTTACTTTGTACAAATGAATACACATAATATGATGATATGGTACGATACTGTGCTGTACTACTAATCTACGCAGTATTTCATTTATCATTTACATTTATCTAGACTTGGTGCACATTGACAAAGTACAGTACATGTTTAAAAACAGGATAATATAATAACCATAATTATGAAATTGTGAAAATATCCACTTTTCATAACGAGTACTTTTACTTTTGAAACTAGAATTACATTTGACTTATTATAATTTTGTAAATTATTCAGAATGATTAGAGGACAGGTGACGACAGAAACATTGTCACATATACAGACACCAGACGTTTTTTTACAAAGCAAGGCACAGACAATGACGTAATACCAAGGGAGACAGTAGTATTTGTACTTTGACTTAAGTTGTTCCTGCAGTGTTTTATCACACCCTCAGTCACTTCCTCTACTTTCTTTTGTTCAGGTAAAGCCGAGTCCCTCAGGTCGCTGCAGGACGAGATCCTACAGAAGTCCTCACAGCTTGAAGGGCTGGATGTCAAGCTTAAAGATCTTTTGGAAAAGCTTCGTCTGAAATCTGTCATCTGCCATGGCTGAGAGGCCCCCAGGAGCCCAGGAGCCACACTTCATACCCCCCCCCCCACACACACACACACACTGCTTCTACTGTCAGAAAGAAAGCTGTCACTTCTTTCCTTTTGAACATTGCTATAACTCCTGTCTATAACATTATACCTCTTCTCTGGCAGTTCAATGAATTGTGGGAAATGTAGGACGTCATTATCTGGAGTTGAATGTGATAGAAGGAGGGGGGCAGAAAGATGGTTCAGGAAGACACATAACTGAGTACTCTTTATCCCAAAATAACTCTGGGATATATTGAACATTAAAGACCATTGTAAGTAACAGTGTCAACGTAACAATAGTGAGGGTTCCATTTATTTAACTCAGAATGTGTGTAAATACTTTTAAAAGTACCAGTATTATGACATTATGTAGGTGCATTTCAATATTTGGTCAAACACATTGTGATATTTTGAGTCCATCAGTTTCATTTTCATCATTCAGCACTTTATTTGAAAAAAAAAACACAGCTTCTGTTTTTATGAGAGCAAAGAGCAAACTCAAATAGGATTTATAAACACAAATAGGATTTATTTGTCAGCAGCAATACTCTCCACTGTGAACATTGCACCACAATTATTGTATTTGAATAATACAAAACGGAAAAAGGGTGAATGTTAACTTATTTATTCTTTGTATTGCATCTGTTGTTTGTGCAGAATCTGTAGTATTTAAATAAAGGTTTTTATTACTTTGATGCATGCGTTGGAGCTTCATGGGAGATGTCAGCATGGTACTAGATACAAGTACTACATACCTATAAATACCGCAAACAGAATGTCACTACATGTGTTCATTTAGAATACTCCATGACATCACTAGTGGTGATGATAGATATTTCCTCCAGAGTGTGGCACTTGATGAGTTCAGCTGTTTAACAAGACAGCAGTTCATTTACATATCACTGAAATCAAAGTTTCATCTCATAAATAAAAGAAACCATCCATCATCTTTTTGTAAAATGGAAATCAGAATTATAATCCAGCATGAATTGAACATAACAATACTTTCCCTAAAATCTCCTTTGCAATGTTTAAAAGTTAAAGTGGACCTATCATGCTATATTTAAATGATATATTGTAGGGCCATACCTATATAAGGTATATTTATACGTTTCTGTTTTCAAAATACCAAACAGATCATGCATTTTAGCCATGCCTCATTTCGCTCTATTTGCTGTTCTCCAGCACTGTTTTTGCACGGGGCTGATTCTGTGAGCTGCAGCTGACCACGCCCCCCTGCAGGAGAGGGGAGCGTGCTCTGATGAAGTCAGAAGAGGGGGAGAAAAATAGATCTCCGTCCTCCGTGTTTTATTATAGCCTATTATTATATAGAGTCGTTATTCAGTTATTTTAAAGCTCAATAAATAACAAAGAAGACCTTTGACCGGCACTTTTCAAATTTTGTCCGGAAGATTTAAACTTTAACGGACATCTTGACCGGCGAAAGAAAACCTAACTGAAACTCTGCCGCACGGTCCCCTCGTTCCTTGGAAGAGGCGGAGAGGTGGGTGTTTGTCATCTGCTGGTGGACTAACCAGAGAGAATTACAGTGCTTGCCTCGACGGGGAGGGATTGCATTGAATTAAAGCAGCGGGAGCAAACGCTTGCCTTGGGGAGGAAAAAAAAAAGCCACAGCGGAGAATAAACAGAAGGGTAACCATGGTAACCATGCGCGGGAAGTCTTCTTCGCTGCTTTTGTGGCAGACTACAGCGCCACTTACAGGCCTGGCATATGTACTACAGCGTCTCCAGCGCTTTCGAGCGGCAATGGCCGGCCGTGGCCCAACCCCACATTCCCCTGATAGGTGGAGAGTTGGCCCAATAGCCGTAGCGCCACCGTCCTGACGTCAGGACAGTGATCAAATCTGGATCAGTTTTTATCAGATCCGTTGCAGCCCCTTTTTTAGAGATTTGGGTATGGAGGAAAATAGAGAGGGTTGTGTTTTCTGACACTTGGTGAGTTCCCTGGAACACCGGGGACACATATTCATGTATAAAAGACGTACAAAAGTGCATTTTGCATGATAGGTCCCCTTTAAAGGTACACTCACAAATTCTGTAAATCCAGTGGTGAATATACATTAGGAATATTAGAAAAGATACAGAGCACACAAACAACATGACTCTGAAGCTTCAGAGTCTAAAAAACCTATCAGTTTATAAAAATACGCTGTTACATTTCATAACAGCCATGTCAGTCAAATAGAACCCGTAATACGTTTGCAAATCTCACATGAATCCTTTCCAAACAAATACATTTTGATGGTATTTAGTGACATATTTACAGTTATATACAGACAAATAAATACAATCAGCGTAACACAAATTGTATGAATTCTAAATGATGAATTCCTGTTGTTTCTGTTCCTTCTCATTATAAACAGGCCTTGCTTGTGAAAGTGTTTTTTATAGTGCAGATACTCCATGTGTGTAAACCGCAGCAGAGAGGAAAAAGCTGAGTGTGTCAACATCTTCATACCACGATATGAGTGCCTTCAATTCTAACAAAAAAACACACATTTTTGAAAATGAGTTATTAATATGAACAAGTTGGTTTTAAAGAGTCATTTAACTAACATCTATATTCTGAACAAGAGCGATGACTCTTTACCTGCATGGGATTCATCTTGGTTAGGCAGCCAATCACATGACAGAACACACTCCAGACTGAATGGACGGGTTCTTCCTCTGAGACACTTTGTCCACACTGCAACACACCACAATTTGGAAAGATTTATAGATAATCATAGACGATATGTCACTGTTCAAACCCAGACCCCTGACACAAATACAGTTACTGCAATATCAACATTTGTCTGGCTCTGGAACAGCTCCCACCTCTTGGAGGGCCTGAAAGCAGCGTCAGTCTCTGAGAGGAAGTCTTTGCCCTCTCTGGACTCCTCAGCACTGCTGCAGGACGGACTGCCGGCCCCCGGGACCAGGTTCCCGTTCGGGTCCAGGGCCTCAGCCTCATGGAGGCACGGGTCCAGGGCTCTCAGATTCTCCTGGGAGGAGGACTGTACTATGATGGGGGGCATGCAGGGATGTAGGGGGAGGGGCTCGGAAAGGGACGACTGCAGTTTCTTCATGTGGTGAACCACTGAGGCTGCGTGGAAGGCTTGCTGTGGGAAACGTGAAATACAAAGAGAGAGTTACACCGCTGCTACGTATGCCATGACACGTGTCTGTAAGTCAGGACAGCCTGTCATGAACAGGATGCTTTTATATAAAAGAAGTCACTAAATCATGAACCATTTACTCAACCTCAAAGTTATAGTAGATTAGATTAAATTAAATGAGTACAGAGTTATTGTGTCTCAATGACATTATTAAATATAAAAGCAAATATCAGATGCAACTAGAGAATGCAATTCCTGAAGAAATTGCTAGTGGGAATGCTTTATGCTGAAAAGCTGACACTAAACTGCTATGCTGAAATGTAATGTGTAAGAAGAAAGTGAAGAATTTAGATTGAAATGATACATGAACACTGGGGGCTTGAATGTGTGATGAGAAGAAAAGAAAGTAAAAAGGCTTGGAAAAGCAGCAGAATATTTGAACTGCAAACTTTTGAACTAACTTGATGGTGAATGATCTGTCGCCATGCCAACGGCATTTGATGACATCCCATAATACGCTTAGATGTGTGGATGGCTGCATCGTTATCTAACCTGTGAAGTTTTGGGCTGTTTGGAGCATTTTCACTGAAGTTATGAGAAAACCGTGTTTCATGGCGAGCCTTGTGTTACCATGGCAACGGCATTTGAAGAAACCCCATAATTGACGTAGAGCTGTTGAGGGCTGTACCGGTGATATACAAGCGAAGTTTGGAGGACGATCGGACCGTGTCCATTGGACTTACAGCGACATCGTGCTTCATGGCGAGTGGTCTCTCGCCATGGCAACGGCATTTGATGACACCCCATAATACGGTTAGATGCGTTGATGGCTGCATCATTACCAAACCTGTGAAGTTTTGGGCCGTTTGGAACATTGTGTGTGAGAGAGAGAGAGAGTGTGTGCGTGTGTGTGTGTCTGTGTGTGGTAGAGAGAGAGAGAGAGAGAGAGAGAGAGAGAGAGAGAGAGAGAGAGAGAGAGAGAGAGTGTGTGTATGAAATGAACAGTTAGAACTGACTGCTGTCAGTTGGAGTGATGACATCATCGTGTTCCATTACACAGGTGTTTATAGTTGAGCTAACGAGCTCTGTAGAGATCAAAGGTTTGCATTGTTCTGAATGAGAGATAAACCTCTTACATGTGAACGTTTTGTGGAAGAACCATAACAGATATCTGTGAAATTTCAAAACGTGAAGCATGTCAAGGAAGTTGAGTATCTGAAGTGTAATCTTTGTGTACTTTCGGGTTAATAATGTGGCCTTTTTGGCAGTTTAACTAAAGGTGTGCGACTGCTGCTGTGAGGAAATATCAGCCTGAAATTACAATGGGTTTTAATGGAGACATGTTGAACGTTTTTGTCACTTCATGCCCTGAAGAGGCATTTTGTTTAATTATTTGTCATTTTTCAAGCTACGAGATGTTTTCCTACGTTTGTCATGAAAAATTATGTCTCAGGAATGTAGGGTTTGGGAATTATGGCAGTTTTAAAAAAATATATGAAGGCAAATTTCAAGATTTCCTACCCTCAAGCTGTGACATCACGCACTCTGCCTTAACGAGCTGCGCAATGTTAAAGTTAAAATGTAAAAAATGTGATTCATTATGGGATGTATCTCTGGAATTATGAAAGTTATGAATGATAAAAGTAATAGCCTGCGATTCCCGACCGAGCTGAACGTTTTGATGTTTGAACGGAGTTTCTGCGATGTTGAATGTGGGAGGAGAAGAGGTCCAAAATAAGTCGGCGGAATAATACACTTTTTGTCCGTAGCATAACATATAGTTGGAATGCTGTATCAGCATTCCCACTAAATAATAGAGTTTAAAACTTTACACAGTAGAGTGTCAATAAAGAGTTTATGGCATTTGTCAACTTGTATTTGAAGCTTGTGTACACACACAAACTCCCAGCCAGGCTGTGGGTGTGTGTGTGTGCTCGGGCTGGTTTCGGGCTGGGTTTCGCTGTGTCTCGCTGTCTCGCAGACGGCCACTGGGCTCATAGGGAGGGGTGGGGGCAGGAGCTCCAACAAGCCGTGTAGGACAGAGAGTGAATACACATACTATACAGAGATGCTATATGAGAAACCAATGCGATTTTGGAGAATTGCACAATATAAATCTTTTTTAGTAGACCTCAACATTAGCTTTTGTTGCAATATAAATATAAATAGAAGTGTGACTCACCTTCCATTTGGATTTGGCAAAGCTTCTCTCCATCTGCTCACACACAGACTGAGAAATGTCCACGTCTTTAGCTGTGTTTTCAGCAATCCTGCAATCAAGTCAATGACATTAGATCATCTGTGTGTGTGTGTGTGTGTGTGTGTGTGTGTGTGTGTGTGTGTATGTGTGTGTGTGTGTGTGTGTGTGAGTGTGTGAGTGTGTGTGTGTGTGTGTCAGACAGAGAGGACTCACCATGGGTGTCTGAGTGCCTGCTCGGTGAGGAAGCGTCTTGTGGGGTTTTTATGCATCATATTCCTGATGAAGTCTTTGGCTGTTGAGACATGGAATGGTCATCTGTTAGTTGACGATATATAGAAAAAGTACTCCTGCTGTTAGCATACAAATATACCCATTTGGTCACCTTCAATTTAATAATGTATGAATCCTTTTCAATGTTACACACATTTTATACTGTTAGGCCCCAGCGAAACACGGCAACAACTGAGCGCCAGGACTCAGACGCAAAGACAAAAAAAAGAGACCCTTAAATCAGATAAAGGAAAAACCGAGAAAGTATGTCATTTGAAAAATAAAGCTGCGCTGAAATACAGTAAACCCATCCACAGAAAGACTAATGCTTGGATGTTTGAGGAACATTGAGCCTTGAATAACTGGTATACATGTTTTTTCCGTTCTGTTCAACACAGCATATTAAGATTCTATAACAGAACTCCTTTTGATTCAATATACCATTGTATAGCTTTTAAACACATAACATGGTGTTTAATTTGACTTATCCAAGTTAATTAATTAATTGACTAATTGTGTTGCACTGTCCCAGTGTTTCTGGACATTTTCATGTGTTGGTCTTCCTGTGGAGTGGAGGTATGTATGTGGCGCATTTCCACTGCAGCGCGGAGCTCGCTTTAAGCGTGCCGAGCCGTGCAGGGCCCGTTTTTGGTTGCGTTTCCACTTGGCCTAGTGCCGGCTAGCGGGTCCTAATTCACAGTTTTTCTGGCCCCATAAAATCGTGGTTCTAGGGCCAGGAACAACCAGGCTGAGTCGGGCTGAGTATGCTAAACTAGAGAGAGAATCGCTGGCAAGGGGGCTACAACTACAACAAGATGAACATATTTGACCGTGATTTAATTGTAATACACGTTTCAAAATGATGCCGAAGTAACAACATACTGATACCGGTTAGTAAAAACCATGAATTAATGCTTTGACAAGTCTGCAGACAGACGGCAGGCGAAAAACCTTTTAAAATGCGTGTTTTCTAAATGGAGATTGGCTAAGCTAACGTTGCATATGCTCCGACCGTCCACACTCACAACAACGGCCTATACAGACATAAATAAACCAGCCATGACACAGACAGTCTGTGGTTTGTACTTGTTTAACTTTTGTCTAGTTTCTGAACATATATGAGGAGCTGTGAGCTCTGAGGGCTAACAGCTAACGGCTGTGTTGTTTTTCTGGGGTTCTCATTGAAGATGACGTCACGGCTCCGCCTACACTGCGTTACTATAGATACTACCCCAGTTCCTAAACTGTAATGGGAATGCGCCATAAAGTGAGCCTGTCCTAACGAGGCCTAGCCATACCGAGCGAGGCCGAGCTAGGCTGTGTAGTGGAAATGCGCCATTATGGCGATTAGGTTAGGAGTACAGATTATTAGCTAATTTAGGCAAACAAGAACTGTCCTTGCCCGTTTGGCTCTACAGTAATTATATCTCACCTAACCCTAACAGGTCACTGTAGCTATGGATTATGTAAGTATGACGTAAGGAGGTATGCTGGGCTACTTAAGGTTAAGCTGTATGGATATATGAAGACATGCTGATCTATAGCTAACACTGAGGTTTATCATATTTTAGTCACATTTCATGTAACAACAAGAGCTGGATTTGACTCTTTTTGAGGCAAAAACCAAGTCCAGGTGCATGCCGACCTTACCCTGTACAATTTCATGACACATCTTTCTTTCAAGACAACCTCTTTTGATACAGCAACAGTGCAATGCATTTTCATTACACTTTTATTAAATAAAATGTGAAATAAAGTAACATACCAAACAGAAAACTAAACATAAGCCTCAAATTAATTTAAAATATATTTGTGATGGTGCCCAACTTCTTAAAGTTGAATTTATCAAGCCTGTGACATGACGTCTACATTTAAGCCAAGTCTTAGGCCCTGACACACCAAGCTGACACCAAAGAACACGTCCCGACGGACCCGACTGTTGTGTCGCCTCACGTCTCCTGCGTCTTGGCCAAAAAGTCGCACTGGAACCATGGATGTATAATAAGAACTGGATACAGCGTGGGAGGCGGGGCCTCGTTCATTCCTATGAGAGTTGAGAGCATGAAGACAAAATGGCCCAACTTTTGAGAGAGTGAAATGTCACGAAAGTATTCATATAATCATATAATCCGTTCTTATTGTGCATCCATGGGTAAAGGTAAAACTCATGTAGTACTGAACACGTCACATGAACGTGCCTGGTGGCGCGGTCCCGTGGGTTGGATCCGCGTTCATAATGCAGAGGAAAATAACTCTCAGAATAACGTTATTAGCACATTTTACAATTTGAGGACTGAATGTTTTTAATAAGGGCTATACAAATGTTCATACTGGGTAGTTTATTTAGCTTTAAAAAAAAAAATCCAACGATTTACAGACATCTCTTTCCCAATGTTAGTCAATGGGAAAAAGTATTTCCGGGCCCAGCGACTGATACGGAAGTGTAGTACCGCCGTTTGGCCACAACGAATATTTTCCTCAGAGTCCGGCGAACTTCCTGGGGGCTTGACTGGAACACACCGCAAAGACTTCAGCCGACGACCAAGTAGCACGTACACACTGCGCATGCGTGAGTCGCAATAACTCTCCTTATCAGCAGGCGGCGGTAGTGTGTATTCGTCATTCAAAAGAGGCAACCAGAAGACAGACTGCGTGATATATATACAAACAACAAATAGCTACATCGAGCCAAGCAGCACAGGGATGAACTATGCCCAGGGGCGGCGGGTACTGTAGGCTAGGGAAGGCTAAGCCTTCCCAAATATTTTTGTCACTGCATCCTGGTAAAATAAAAATATAATGTATAATGTTTGTGTCTTTGACATTAGCGCTGCTATGCAGCCACCTGTGCCCTGTACTACGAAGCCAGTTCAACATACCCTGGATATGTTTGAGTTATCTTAACTAACCACCCTAACAAACGAGATCTCGCTAAGCGGTCCTACGACGCTGGTTATCAACTCGGTAAATCAAGCCAGGGTTTCTCTCTCCAGCTGAGAGCGCGTTCACGTGAAAGGGGCGGGGTTAGCAACATTTGACCAATCACAAACAGGGACAAGTGTAGCCTACTGACAGCGCAGCATCATACTTCATTAATGTAAAGTAAACTAATATTAGACAAATATGAACTTTAAACATCCATGACTTAAACATATAATCCAGGATACAAGCCACATAGTTGCACCTGCAAGGTGAATATAGAACAGGGGTCACCAACCTTTTTTAGGGTGAGGGCTACTTTCAAAAAATAAAACAAGTCCTCTTTTTTTTGTTTTTTGCAGTGTATATATTTAGCACATTTTAACATTATGATATGCTGACCTTTAACCTTTGTGTGCTGTTTGGGTCTGTGAGACCCGTTTTCAGTGTTTACTAAAAGAACATGTATGCAATCTAATTATTTTAACCTGCTTTATTTGGGGGTGGATGGGCCTCACCTCCTCTAGGGGGGTCCTCACCTCCTCCAGGGGGGTCCTCACCTGCTCTAGGGGGGCCGGGGGCATGCACCCCCGGGAAGATTATTTTTAAATGTTGAAGTTAAATGCATCAATCTGGAGCACTTTGAGCACAACATGAATTGATGGATGCAGCTCTCAACACTCAGATGAAAGGGAGCTGTATACTTTTCAATAATCCAAACATCTTTAGAATATGATCACAACCAATAACAAATCATTTAAACTGGTTTATTCTTATGTTACCTAGTTAGCATTCTTTCTTTTTATTTATGCTTATTTTACTAATCACTCCCCTTTCAAACTGTTTCTTGTTTTTTTTACTGTCCTATAGTACACATTGGAATGATTTCTTACTTTATCTATATTAAAGTGGACCTATCATGCTATATTTGAATAATATAGTGTCGGACCATACCTATATAAGGCATATTTATACTTTTTTTTTTTCAAAATACCAAACAGATCATGCATTTTAGCCATGCCTCATTTTTCTCAATTTGAAAAATGTTAGCTCTGTTTTTGTAAGGGTTGATTCTGTGAGCAACAGCGCTACTTACAGGCCTGGCATATGTACTACAGCGTCTCCAGCGCTTTCGAACGGCAATGGCCGTGGCTGTCTCCTCCTGATTGGTGGAGTTGGCCCAATAGCCGTAGCGCCACCGTCCTGACGTCAGGACAGTGTTCAAATCTGGATCAGTTTTTATCAGATCCGTTGCAGCCCCTTTTTTAGAGATTTGGGTATGGAGGAAAATAGAGAGGGTTGTGTTTTCTGACACTTGGTGAGTTCCCTGGAACACCGGGGACACATATTCATGTATAAAAGACGTACAAAAGTGCATTTTGCATGATAGGTCCCCTTTAAATAGATAAAGGTGTGCTCTCCCTAGCTCTCTCTCTCTCCCTCCCTCCCTAGCTCCCTAGCTCTCTCGCTCGCTTTCTCTCTCTCCCCCTCTCTCTCTCTCTCTCTCTCTCCCTCCCTCCCTCCCTCCCTAGCTCTCTCGCTCGCTCTCTCTCTCCCCCTCTCTCTCTCCCTCCCTCCCTCCCTCCCTAGCTCTCTCGCTAGCTCTCTCTCTCTCTCTCTCTGTCTCGCTCGCTCACAGAGGCTGTGTGCTCCTCCGTGGCGATGACGGCTTCCGTTAAAAAATAATAAACATATTTGTAAAGTGGGGGGACACAAACGGGATGTCGAAAAGAGCGGGGGACATTTCCCCCCTGTCCCAGGTGGAAATTACGCCATGCGTGTGTGTGCGTCAAGTGCAATAAATATATATGCAAGTTGCAACACACAGAGTAAAACTCTGGCCCTCATGTGCTGTATAGGCTGGCATGATAGGCTGTTCAATGGGGCTGATGTGTTGTGTAGATTCTGCCAGGAGGAAAATCAGCGGGGAGGTGCCACATTGCTTTTCTTCCCGACTGCAACGCTGGTCCCGCAAATCAAGCAAGAACGTGATTGGTCGATATTCATTGTGGGGGTGGGGGGAGGAGGGGTGTTAGATAGATATAGAGTTGTAGTAAGTAGATAGAGTTCGCTATGATTTAGGTTTCGTTTATGCATAGGGTAGATTCTTTTAATTACATTTCCTTTTTTGTTTTGTGTATTTTATACATTTTGGATTTGCTTGGCGAGCTATTTTTAGAACATGCCCCGCGGGCGACACACGTTGCCCCTGCGGGCGACCAAGTGCCCGCGGGCACCGTGTTGGCTACCCCTGATATAGAACAACTGGTTAAAAAAAATAATAAACTACCGAGTGTTTGAAAGCCCCGTCTAAGACACGAGTGGATCTGACTTTAATTACATTTGACTCGAGTGTTTTGTCAACTTAATGTGTTGCTTAAAATAATACTTCTGCATACAGTATGTGACACTGTGAGTGTTGCACGGCCAGATACGGCTCAAGAAGCTGACTCAAATAAGGATATATATGATACATTATGATGTGATATGATATGAATGATAATGGGACACATCTACATCTGCACTCACAGTGCCGCGGACTGTACTTAATGTTACTCTGATCCGGTTACTTATGTTGTGGCAGATAAGATAAGATAAGTTTTCTTAACGCTAATGTTATAATAGTCAGATTGCTCTGAAGATGGGAGGTGATATTCTATAAATGTTCACGTTTTGCCGGCCGTCTTTCCTGCAACGGCAGTTTTTCTGTATTTCCTTTCTCCTGTAATATGACTTGATAGCTTTAAACTCCGCACAATGAGCTCTGATTGGTCAGCAGGCGGTGCTTTCACTGAGTTGATCTCTTATCCTGGAACCTAACCTAGGAAATATATGATATATTATGATATTATATGATCGATGATCTGATTGATGATGTGATATGAATGATAAGTGCGACACTTTGGCGTCTTCTCTGCATACGGCAGTTTAAACTGTATTTCCTTTATCCTGTAATATGACTTGATAGATTTAAACTCCGCACACTGAGCTCTGATTGGTCAGCAAGCGGTGCTTTCACTGAGTTGATCTCTTTTCTATAGATTCTATAGGCAGGCAGCGTCAGGTAAAAAAAGTTATTTAGCCTTCCCAAACCTGAGCCTCACGCGCCGCCTATGACTATGCCAATATTTTAACAGTATCGGTGCAGTGCCTTTTCAGTGGGGCAAGATATAGCAAATATGTGTGCCTATCCTGCTATTTGTGTTTATTCTTTTAAATCACACAGCGTTAAGAAAATAAATAAATGTGTCTACATAACTGTCAGTTGCAGCCCTAGCATTATTATTGGTTTAACTACGAACAGTATATTTTTAAAACATTTTAAAATGACCATCTTGAACAGCTACAACATTAAAATACTTCTAGGCAGATTGTGGACAGTAACACAGTACATTTACTTAAGTACTGTCTGTACAGCTCCACTCCAATTCAAGAAAATAGTGTTTCGCTAAGCTGAACAGCCAATCAGAGTGATTTTTTTTGCCGGCAGCGGAAGGTGTCGGCACGGCCGAAAAGACACAACGGTGTGGGACCAAGCCCCCAGGAAGTGCGCCGGACTCGGAGTAAAATATTCGTTGAGGCCAAACGGTGGTACTACACTTCCGTATCAGTCGCTGGGCCCGGAAATACTTTTTCCCATTGACTAACATTGGGAAAGAGACGTCTGTAAATCGTTGGATATTTTTTTTTAAAACTAAATAAACTACCCAGTATAAACATTTGTATAGCCCTTATTAAAAACATTCGGTCCTCAAGTTGTAAAATGTGCTAATAACGTTATTCTGAGAGTTATTTTCCTCTGCATTATGAACGCGGATCTAACCCACGGGACCGCGCCGCCCGGCACGTTCATGTGACGTGTTCAGTAGTACATGAGTTTTACCTTTACCCATGGATGCACAATAAGAACGGATTATATGATCATATGAATACTTTCGTGACGTTTTGCTCTCTCAAAAGTTGGGCCATTTTGTCTTCATGCACCAATGAGCAACTCTCATAGGAATTAACGAGGCCCCGCCTCCCACGCTGTATCCAGTTCTTATTATACATCCATGTGCGGGACACACGAATCTGAGTAGGGCGACAGGAAGCTCATCGACGGCCAGACATCTATCGACGGCCGAAATCGGCTTGGTGTGTCAAGGCCTTGGCAGTCGAGTGATTTAGTAGATTAAGTCCAAGTTAAGTGTTTTGAATAAAAATTGATTAATCTTGGCCACTTGGGGGCAGCCAGCAAGTTGTGAACAAAACATGGACATATTATCATGTGTTATCATCAGGGCCATGTGGCCCAGTTCCCTTGTTCTTCTTAGATGGATAACTATAATTATTGTAGAGCAACAAGTTATTGAGCCCACACTCAAAAGAGACCTATTAAATGTCAGCTGGATCATGACCAAGATATTTGAGTGTAAACAGAAAAGCATGCATGCTTATAGATTCATTGACATATCATTAGACTTATGTCAATGAATCTTTTGCCCCAGTGCATGCTGTGATGCACTTTGGTTTCTTGGTAACCTACCAAGAAACCAAAATCATGTACCTGCAATCACAGAACAGCAATCAGCCAATCATGTAACAGAAAATTGTTATTCAAGAATAGACAAAGGAATCCTCAAACTGCTTTTAAAGAACAACATAAACTTGATGAGAATGAACACAGTTCATAACTCAAAGTTAGCATGAAAAAGTTAGCCACATTTCAGGTCATGGTCCTTATTAGCTTCAGTTGCTTATTTATACATCAGGATGTTATGGAGCTACATTATCATTCATTTGGCCAACTGATGATGTATGTCTAATATGCACAATTATTTAGGGAACTTTCTGGTTCACCAGTTAGTCAGTTTGTTGTTTTAGAGCTGTTTTCACTGAAAACAGCTGCTTGCCAAGTCTACACAATATAAACCAGAAAATAATCCAAACAGTAAAGCTGCAGGACGGCCAGACAAACACTGAGCTAAAACTGATTAAAAAGCTCTGAAGAAACAAGGGGAGCTTCGGATTCAGGTGTAAATAAATGCTGATGCTCTATCTAACCCTTTTACTTTGATTTCACAATGTTACTTGGTTTTATTATTAAAATAATATTGATTATAGACCAAGACTAAGCCACGGTCATTTAGAATAGTGTCCAAATATTGAATACAAATCAGTACAATTACCAGAAGAGAAAGGACAGGGATATCAGATGTCAAAGCTGTTTGTGAAGACTGAGATTTTCATATTTGCTGCTGTTTTCATACCTGACTCGGAGATATCGTCCCAGAAAGGTGAATGAAAAGCGTACTCAGCCCTCATGATCTTTGAAAACAGACGCGTCTCGTTGTCTTCAAAGAATGGAGGGTAGCCGCAGAGCCTGCAACTCAGACACAGCAAGCTAACTCAGCTAATCCCAATGAATTATCCTCATCAAAAATCTTTTACAAATGTAGATATGCCATGACTGTGTTATCAAACTTATGAGAAGAATATGATTTCTTAACAAAATAAATCAATGTATTTACTGTATAATCTCAGGCTCCTGACCTTTAGGTTATTATCTAAATGTTGTATTGGTTGTTTCCACACAGCCATGTAACGTGTTATGTTTTGATAGAGAACAGAAATGTGCTCACAGGATGTAGGTGATAACTCCAATGGACCAGCAGTCCACTGTTTTGCTGTAGGGTCTCTGGGCCAAAACCTCAGGGGCTGTAGAACCACAAAAGTAATTCAGCCAACAGAGCAAGAAGACATTCAAAATAGATACTTTTACCATGGATGTCTCTAATTTTATTGTTTTCCTTCTATTTTTCAAATAACAATGTGTACTTCATAACTGTATAATAATACATTTAAGCATTTCACACATTTGAACATGTATCAAACATTCCAAAGTATACAATTGTAAGCACATGCACCCTTCAACCCTACATTTTTTTAATGAAATCTGATTTGACTGTTTGCTCCTCCAAGAATCACCACCTTTATCATGGTTCAGAGTGAGTAAACCTAGGAGCTGCGATGTCAGAGGCGATAGCTCCAGACTGCGATGTTCAGACCCAGTCACAACAGAGCTGCATCACCTAGGATGAAATCTTGCCGGTAAAGAGTCTCGTGGCTGGGCCTAACCAAGGAAATTGACACGCTAGAGTACTTTATACTCCATAAAAAAATCTGAACTTCCTCCAGAGGAAGCGTAATTTAAAAACTTGGGGGAAAGCCTCAACCATATCCCTGGCAGGACTCTCATGTGGTTTAGACAGCTGATCAGAATGACTATCATCCTTTTCTCTTCAGCAGCGGAAGTGAATCCACGGAGCTTGAGACGAGAGAAAAAAGAGAGTGAAAATGGAGTCAATTCTTGACCACAGGACCTGCCCGAAATGCCCGAACCTGATCGCGGGGGCTGATCCGCACCCCTTCTGCTTCTCATGCATGGGGCCCGACCACGCCGTGAGCAGTATGGGCCCGGCACCGGCCTGCTCGGCCTGCCAGATGATTCCGCGGCTCACGCGGCAGCATCGTGGGGAGCATCTCCTGAAAAGTGATGCCCGGCAGGAGGAGCCAGAGGATCAGGATCTCGACGTCGTCGAGATGGGCGAGTCGGGAGACGAGGAAACGTACCGCTCCCCCCACCGCTGCCACCGAGGCCTGTAAGCCGCCTGAGACAGGGGTTTTACGGCCCGGTACATCCGGCGCAGCCGACCTTCGTTTCGCCCCAGCTGCCAGAAATATGGCAGTGTGTGGAGGCGACATGGTGGCAGCCATTTAAAACGAAGGCCCCAGTAGCCGCTATGGCAGGCATCATCAGGGTGGAGGGCCGCTGGGACACGACATGTCCGGGTGTGCCCCCTCTTGATGAGAGCCTGGCGGTCCATCTGCTTCCGCGGGCGGCTGGTTGGTTGATCTGTATCCATGTTTAAGTGTCCTTTGTTTCCACAATGCTACACTTACACATGATGATGTCTGTACAAATTCCCCACTCGCTGCCCCAGTCGTAGCTCCTGTAAGGGAGGTGGCTAGTAGGAGTGCGCAGATGAGAGTGATAACCGCAGGCAGTACTATCATGGTGCTGTGCGGGTACAGGGACATTATGGCCGGCGTATTACTGTCAGAGAACACACTACGCCTAGAGCAATGACTCCAGTTAATGCAGTTTACCGTAGTGGTAAGGGCTGCATTATGGCGGGGCCCGCACTCACTCAAGAGCGCGTGGCGGTGCGTTCAGGGGCCTTGGTAGAACACACTACGCCTATAAAGACTCCGATTAATGCTGTTTACCGTAGTGGTGAGAGCAGCATTATGGTGGAGCGCTCGCTCACACAGGAGCGTGCGGCGGTGCGTTCAGGGGCCTCGGTAAATAATCGGCCCTTTCTGTGTCGACCCTTCACGGGGAGTTTTGCGGCGGAACGGGTCACCAGAGAGTATCACAGCTTCATAGCTGCGGCCCCACAGCTGAGGGCTTGTCCATTAACACAATGTTATGGGGAATGGAAACTCAGCTGTGTACTAACAAAGTGGATGGACAGGACGCTGAAACGGGGCTATTCACTCCAGTTTTGCAGCGTCCCACCTCCTTTTATGGGCATGCGAGAGGTGAATCTGTCCTTCCAGGTGGAGATGGGTTTCCTCTCAGCAGAGATTCAGGCTATGGTGCAGAAACAGTCTGTGTCTGTGGTGCATCCTCAGCACAAGGAAAAGGGTCTTTATTCTATGTACTTCCTGGTTCTCAAGAAGACAGGGGAATTCAGACCTATTCTAGATCTCCGGGGCCTGAATCGCCACATTTCCTGCAGGAAATTCCGCATGTTAACTGTGAAACAGTTACTGGGGACTTGTGCAGCCAGGCGATTGGTTCACCACCATCGACCTGAAAGACGCGTACTTTCATGTAGAAATTGCTCCAGAGCACAGAAAGTATCTGTGTTTTGCCTTTCAGGGAACAGCCTACGAATACAACAGGCTGCCGTTCGGCTATTCCCTATCCCCACGCACATTCAGCAAATGTGTGGCCACAGCGCCTCAACCGCTGCACACCCACGGCATGAGAGTTTTCTTTTACCTAGACGACCTCATAGTCATGGCTGGGTCACGGGAACAGGCAATGTTTTGCACAGCACGATTGATCACACACCTAACCAAATTAGGCTTTGCGATCAATTGGAAAAAGAGCACCCCCATACCTCACCAACAGGCGTTGTATTTGGGAGTGGTGCTCGATGCAGACACGCTGCGTGCCACCCTGTCAGAGAGCAGACGTGCGTCCCTTCTCCGGGCGGTGCACAGGCTGCGACAGGGGGCGACAGTGACAGCTTTAACTGTCATGCAGACTCTGGGTCTCATGGCAGCTGCTCACATGGTGGTCCCGTTGTATGGGCTCAGAACAGTCTCATAATACACACATGCACACAGAAGGATTCACACTTGTATTTCATGATCCACAAAAGGATTCACACTTGTATTTCCGGATCCACACTTGTGTTTTTCAATGCACACACAAATGTGTTCCGTTTCATATACATGTAAATAAAATCCAAATACAGAAAAAAGTTTTACATATGTATTTTTGATCCTCACATATTTGTTTTCCGTTTAAAACCTCTGCACCTGCAAACACAAACCGCTTTCTGTGCATGGATCGCTCTGCATTCGTGTGTGGGTTTTTTGAGACTCCCCTGACGGTGACCCGATTCGTACTTGTAATTTTTTCTATCTATAGCCAATCAGATTTCTCCTCAATTCTAAGCCAATCACATGAGCGCGCCCCCACAAGGGTAGATTTCTTGCGTTCATGACGTAGCGCTTCATGTACGCATTTTGCGCTGTCCGGAGCTGACAGGTCCATGGAGCCTGCCTGCAGGCGCTAATCTCAGGACACCTCCACTCTCAGTACATTACCACTTTCCGATCAGGAAATGCACGCAAATACAAGCCTTTATATTATTAAGGTACAGTGCCACTTTCCGAACCATTAATGAATGCTTGTGTACACAAAAACGGCAGGCAAAACTGTTTTAAATGTGTGTTTCCTGTATGGCGATCAGCTGCTTTATTTATGTCTGTATGAAGTTGTTGTGAGTGTGGAGGGAGCAGCTACAGGTTAGCTTAGCCTAATCGATCAGTGCACTACGAAGCCAGTGCTAGACAGTGAACTGTCAACGGGGGGAGCCCCGCCGGTCATTATCGGCCGATATTCACTCTTAATAGTTTGATCGGTGCTCTCTATAAAGGCCGATCAGGAGAGCTGGATCTGATCGATATGGACATAAACGCGAGTGAAGTTTTAGCGAGCTGCATGAGAAACTGACGGGCTGTCAGGAGAGAGGGAGGGAGAGAGGAAAAGAGATGATCCTTACTCCCGTGTTATTATCCGGTCATAGTCCGGTAATTACCTAACGGAAACGCTGCTACACAATTCTTCTTATTATTATTATTGAAACATGACCGGTAAGTTTCAAATTTGTCCGGTAAAATTAAATTCTGTCCGCGGAAACCCTGCTCCGGACTACGCAAAATGCGTATATGAAGTGACATGAACGCAAGAAATCTACCCTCGTGGGGGCGCGCTCATGTGATTGGCTTAGAATTGAGGAGACATCTGATTGGCTATAGATAGAAAAAATTACAAGTACGAATCGGGTGACCGTCAGGGGAGTCTCAAAAAACCCACACACGAATGCAGAGCAATCCATGCACAGAAAGCGGTTTGTGTTTGCAGGTTCAGGGGATTTAAACGGAAAACAAATATGTGAGGATCAAAAATACATATGTAAAACTTTTTTCTGTATTTGGATTTTATTTACATGTATATGAAACGGAACACATTTGTGTGTGCATTGAAAAACACAAGTGTGGATCCGGAAATACAAGTGTGAATCCTTTTGTGGATCATGAAATACAAGTGTGAATCCTTCTGTGTGCATGTGTGTATTATGAGACTGTTCTGAGCCCATACCGTTGGGGTTACTACATATGCGCCGCCTGCAGAGGTGGTTCTCCAGCCTGCGTTTGGACCCCAAGAGGCACAAACTACTGGTGACCATCCCCCCCTCAGTGGAGGGCAACCTCCGGTTTTGGAGGTCCCCGGATCACCTCCGGAGGGGGTCTCCACTGGGACGGGTGACCTCCTACATCACAGTGTTCACGGACGCATCCAGAACAGGATGGGGAGGGACCTGCCTGAAGAGGGCTATAGGTGGGCGCTGGGCTCTAACAGAGTCTCGACACAGCAACCTCCTAGAGCTACGGGCGGTAGTGTTAGTCCTCCAGCATTTCATGCCCCTGTAATGTACTGACATGTAATGGTCAGGTGCGACAACAGCACCACAGTGGCTTATATCAACAGGCAGGGCGGAGTTCGCTCTGCCGCCTTGTTGACCGCAGTGGAGAAACTGTGGTTATGGGCTTCAGAGGTGGTGTTATCTCTGAGAGCCCTCCACATCCCGGGACTGGAGAACAGAGGGGCCGACCTCATGTCGAGGGGCGGCCCCCTGCCAGGCGAGTGGGTGCTTCACCCGGAGGTGTTGAAGCAGATCTGGGCCCAGTTCGGGAGAGCAGAGGTGGACCTGTTCGCCAGTCGGCACAACAGCCACTGTGCCCTGTGGTTCTCCATGGCTCTGAGCGACGACCCGCCTTTGGGGGTGGACGCGTTTGCACACGAGCCATGGCCAAGGAAGCTGCTCTACGCCTTTCCACCGCTGCGTCTCATTCTCCCTCTCCTGGGGAGAGTGAGGCGAGAAAGTCTGTCAGTCATTCTAGTGGCTCCGGACCGCGTCGGGGCGCTGTGGTACTCAGAGATGACACAGATGAAGGTGGGCCAGCCCTGGGCGGTTCCCCAGTTCTTGGGGGCGATGTCTCAAGAGGCAGGTGCAATCGGGGCGTTACCCACTCTCGGCCAACCTCTCCAGGCTTGGCTCCTGAGAGGGACAGGCTGAGACAGGGTGGATTGTCTGACAGTGTTATTCAGTCTATCCAGGCAGCTAGAGCTGGATCCACCACAGCCTGTTACAGGCCGAAGTGGCTGGGATTCCAGCGATGGTGTGAGGAGTGGAGAATAGAGCCCCTGTCTTGTGAGTTAGGCTCTATTTTATCCTTCTTACAGTTACTGGTGGACAGAGGGCTTGCGCATTCAACAGTGAAAGTGTATGCAGCAGCCATCTCTTCCTGCCATGAGGGATTTGGCGGCAGGTCAGCCTTCTCTCATCCACTGATGTCGCGGTTTTTGTAGGGGGTCAGGAGGCTGCGCCCAGTAGTGCATGCCTCCACCCCGCAGTGGGACCTGCCCCTAGTGCTCGAGGCTCTGGTCTCAGAACCATTTGAGCCTCTGAAGCTCTCCTCCCTAAAAGCACTGTCGTGGAAGACAGCTTTGCTTCTTGCCTTAACGTCAGCTAAGAGAGTGTCCGAGTTAACCGCTCTGTCGGTGCACCCGAGCTGTTTACTGATTCGGGCGGCGCGACACTCAGACCGAACCCCTCCTTTGTGCCCAAGACCCTAAGGAGTGCCTTCAGGGCGAGGGCTATTCAGTTAGGGGGTTTTAGTCTTCCCCCCCATGGTGGGGCCAGGGAAGCTAAACTGCGCCTCCTCTGCCCGGTGCGTGCGCTAGCATGTTATGTGGAGCTCATGGCTGCCCTTAGACGCACCGAACAGCTGTTCGTGTGCTTCGGGGGCAGTGTGATCGGGAAAGCTCTGTCCAAGAAACGCCTGACAGGCTGGCTCTGCGAGTGCATTGCACATGCCTACGGACAGGCGGGGAGGGCCTGCCCTACGGGGATTCGTGCGCACTCCACACGGGCTGTAGCCATATTCAACGGTGTGAGTGTGGAGGACATATGCACAGCGGCGTCTTGGTCGACGCCAGGCCCCTTCATAAGGTTTTATCTCTTGGACATGTCTGGCTCTTTCTCCTCGTCTGTGCTTGCTGGGGCAACACAGGACTGGTGAGGAAGGGGGGGGCTGTGGGTCAGTTGGCATCTGACCCCCTCCCCGGACGTAATGCGCCTTCGCCTTTCCCGGGCCCTCTGAGGGGTCCCGGGATGGGGAGGGCTACTCTCCTCCACACTTTAGTCCACACACGCTCTGCACGGGGTCAGTGTTTGAGTGTGGGGCATGGGCACTGGCGCTCTCCCTGTGATCCTTAGGGACTCAGGGAGGTAGGTGCACAGTGAGCCCATACAGGCCTGAGGGTTCTCCCCATCTGCCTATGGGCGGAAGGGGGGGGCCCCAGCACTGTTTTGTGAGCACACTTTCTGCGAGGTAAGCGCAGCAGAGTGTGCTCTGTCAGCCGCAGCCCAGACTTCTCCACGGTCACAACCGGGTTAAGGGGGAGTGTGGGGCAGCAGCTGCTGACCAGAAAAGCCGGTCAGCGGCAGTAGGGTGGAATACTATTGTTGGACGACAGTGCGCGTATACATCAGGGCTCCACCCACTGTACCCATAGAGTACAGTAGAGGGCGGAGCCTGTGAGAGATATAACGTTGGGTTACGTATTGTAACCCTTGTTATATTAACACAGGCGGAGCTCTCTACTCAGGGCACTGTCTGTCCTATTCCGCTCGCTGAAGAGAGGTGTAGGATGATAGTCAGGAGGCGAGGCCTCCTTTTATACGGTGAGATGCGCGCGCATTCAGGTAGGCCCGCCCCAGGGCCGGCTACGTCTATAGAAGTCTCAGTGGGAGAATGCTCGCAGGATAAGGTAGTACCCATAGAGTCCAGTAGAGGGCTCCGCCTGTGTTAATATAACAAGGGTTACAATACGTAACCCAGCGTTTTATGGGCACATCAAACTTGAAGCACATAGACTCTTATTGCACTATTTCACTATTTCACTTTTTTAAACTATTTTTGTATTTACTATTTACTTTGACTATATTTCTGTTTATCTGTGTTATTGTGTTGCACTGTTGGAGGAGCCTGTGACCTAAGATTTTCATCGTCATAACTACACTGTAGCTATGTTCGTATGACAAAATAAAAAACCTTGAACCTTGAAGCATACTGTATCTCCTCTGACTGGGACCCTCCAGGAGGAACTGGTAAGAGTTGCTGAGGTTCAGACTGCCTTGCTGAGGAAGCAGATGTATGGTCTGCACTTGTACATTTTAATAGCATGCAATCTATATGATGCAACTTTAATGATTGCTCTTAATTTAATTAAGGGCGGTGGTGGCAAAGTCTTGGCTTGGCAACTGGAAGGTCACCAGTTCAAGTCCCGGAAAAGACCAAGTGCTACCGAGGTGTCCCTGAGCAAGGCACCGTTCCCTACACTGCTCCCCGGGCGCCGTACATAAGGGCAGTCCACTGCTCCTAACACTAGGATGGGTCAAATGCAGAGACCTATCCGGCAGTGGCTCAGTCAGTAGGGGCTTGGACTGTGAGCCGTATGGTCGCCGGTTCAAGTCCCCGAACAGACCTAAATATGGAGTGTGGACTGCTACTTGGAGAGTACTACTGCTACTCCCAGTTCACCTCCTTGGCCCTGCCGTGATGCCCTTGAGCAAGGCACCGGACATCCCCCTTCCCCCCCCACTCCCATTGCTCCCCGGGCGCTGTACAATAGCTGCCCACTGCTCCTAGTGCTAGACTCCTGGTACTAGGATGGGTTAAATGCAGAGAACAAATGTCACTGTGTGTGCTGTGTGCTCTGCATGTGTGACCATTACAGAGGGGTTTCATCCCTCCCATTCTATCTATTCTATCTAATTGATTTGTTTTATTTGTGTCTTCACTAAATAACTTGAATAATACCACTTGTATTATATTGCCAGATAAAAACATAATTTGTAGTAGTATTATTTAAATGTACAATTGTATATCAGATATAAATAACAAGGGGCTTTCAAAAGAAGTGTACGTGTCTGCCCCGCATCCATCACTCACCAACATATCCCGGCGTACCACAGGCTGTGGACATCACGCCGTGCTCCAACGTCTTCGACAGACCAAAGTCACTCACCATGATCTTCGCATTCTCGTCTGTGTTATAGTAAAGCAGGTTCTCAGGCTGACCACAGACAGAGGAACAAAGAAAGATCAAAAGGAAGTTAAAGAGAGGGAAAGAGAAAAAATGCTGTAAACGTACAGATGTATTCTTTGTGTATCACCTTAAGGTCCCTGTGTACGATGCTGTTTTCGTGCAGGTAGCTGACAGCCTGCAGCACCTGCTTTATCACCATGCTAGCGTCCTTCTCGGTGTAAACCCCCTTATCTAAAATGCGATCAAACAGCTCCCCACCTGACACCCTGCACACACACACACACACACACACTTCAGAACTTTGTGTATATGTGTAGATCGCACACACCACAATATACCAAGAGGGAAAATGTGTATAAAATCATGCAAACAACATTTAGAATCCCTTTCTGACTTTAGAGTGAAAGTAATTTAAGGGGGAAAAGACACTATAAGCCATCCATACATAAAAGAAGCACACTAACCCTATGTTGTTGTTATTGGCAGATTTGTTTTACCCTCAATTAGACCCATTGTCAATATTTAGTTTGACCAAGGTAATAGTTTGTGACAGTTAGGAGTTCTCTTACAGTTGCATGACCAGGTAATAGTGTGTCCGGCTCTCATAGAAATCCTCCAGTCCTACCACATTCTCGTGCTGTATCCTGAAAGAGTAAGAAAGAGAATTAGGCATGTGTGTGTGTGTGTGTGTGTGTGTGTGTGTGTGTGTGTGTGTGTGTGTGTGTGTGTGTGTGTGTGTGTGTGTGTGTGTGTGTGTGTGTGTGTGTGTGTGTGTGTGTGTGTGTGTGTGTGTGTGTGTGTGTGTGTGTGTGTGTGTTTTACCTTCTCAGTACATTGATTTCATTTTCGAGGTTGCTATGAGCGAGGTGTTTCTTCTTCAGGCATTTCAGGGCGTACATTTTTCCTGTTCTCTTCTCTCTCACCATAAAAACCTCGGAAAAGGACCCCCTGCACAAAAACAGGAAGGACAGAATACACAGAGTGAAGTGTGTGTTAATGTGAAAACAATCCATAGAAATAGTCAACCATATTCAACTATTAGGGACAAAACTATTTGTTGTTTTTAATTTCTTCATTATCATTCAAGTTCAAAGCACTAGTCTTTGTGGTTTGACATTCCTTTACTTTAAGACACAGATATAACTGTTTCCAGGATGATGAATAATATCTCCAAATACTTCTCAATAAACCATAAGCATGAGCGTACTTTTATAGTCCTTAAAATAACTGTGGATCTCTTCTGTGGACACCAGGTCTGCGAGATATTGAGAAAAGAGAGATGTTGCCCCAGGCATGACATGGGTCACTTTGTGGTCCTAAAGAATAAATAAATAATAGATTTAACCAGATTTGAAAAAAGTTCACCAAGTTCTATGCTACCATCAGGATCTGTCCACCCCATCTAGGTACCACCTCACGAGTCAAATCTTTCCACTAACGGTTACCAACCAATCAGAAGGTAGCTTTCACTCACACACCAAACCGTTCCACCTCCTTTAACTTTATGATTTTTTTTATTCTGCTCTCCTATGATTTTCACAATGCAACCTGACTGCAGCCGGTTCTGCCCTACTGTGCTGTGATAGGCTATAATTAAAAGTCAAGCATCTGTTCTGATGATAATCGGGGGATCTGGGCCCTCTGAGCATGCACACCTTAAGCCCTGCCTCCACTCCGTCACAGCTCAAATGAATGGAGAGGGAAAATAACTCTGGATTGAGCTTTTAGTGCATTTGACACACTTTAGGAGCTAGTGATTTAATAAGGGCTATTCAAGTGTTTGTGCTGGGTGGTTGATTTAGCTCATCGCATCTTGTGATTTACAGACATGTCTTTGCCAATGTTAGCCATTGTGAACAAATATTTTGGAGCCCACGTGACTGACACGGAAGTTGCAGTACCACCATTTGATCACTACGAAATTGTATATGTATATATCACTTTCTTGAGGCTTGATTTACACTGCAGCTCTAACCCTAACCTCTCAATCCCAATAAAGGAGACTTAATACACATGTATTAAAACGCTGTTGCAATACTTGTATTGTACACTGTTTTCTGAATTAGGGTTAGACTCATACTGAGACTTTTATCATAGAATTAAAGCACACTTACATAAATTGATCAACTTTTATAACCTAGAAATGTCACTGGAGCCCATACCCTATAACTTTTTTAGCCACCAATAATCTTTTGGGGATATTTTAGCTGTCCTTGATACAAAAAAAACTGATACAATAAAAAAAAACCCAGCCCAAACCTCAGCCAATTGTCTGATCCAGGGGGTCACATTATCTGCGTCTTTGCCAAAAAGTTGCATTTGAACACAACGCAAAGAGTTCAGCCCATGGCCTACAATATCATACACTTTATGTGCCTGCAGGCAAGGTACTAACTCTCTATAACAGCTCTGAGGAAGATGTAGGCAGTGTGTAAAAATTGCAGATGGCCGACAGATGCCCATCTTGGTCACTGACCCGTTGTATAATCGGTGTGTCAGGGCCTATAGACCAGAACACTGTGACTTCCTGCGCTGGGTTGGAGTTGCTGCAGCCACTAACTGAAGGTTTCTCTGGTGTTCTAGTGGCGGGGAGGCGGGAACGCAGTCGGCTAACACACACAGGTGGCAAACTATAGCCTATAGGCAGTGCCACCAGTGAAGATTACAAGATAGTAGTGTTATTTTGACCGGCTTTCAGCTATGATTCAGTTTCGTCGACTTTTGTGTATTCTTGCCGTGCTGTTAGTTAGTAGTTGGCTTCTCAACGTAAAGTAAAATGCTGCCCTTATTTATCTGGAGCATGTGGCCAGGCATTACACAGTGCCCCTTTGATTGAAAACTGAATGCCTCTTTGCAAAGTATGCCATTAATTGATTAAAAATGTTGGCACAAACACACACCTAGGTATACCTATTCACACACCTCCCTTCATATGGTGCACTCATCCAGCAATTAAATGAGTCAGGCTTTTAATCCTATAATGAAGTGGTGCTAGGATGTTCCCACTGTTCTTACGTCAGTGCTCAGGAACTAGGACACACACACACACACACACACACACACACACACACACACACACACACACACACACACACACACACACACACACACACACACACACACACACACACACACACACACACACACACACACACACACACACACACACACACCTTTGCAGGACAGCTCTGAGGAGGCGACACAATGTTTTCTTCACTGGCTGATGATTCTCATGACTGGTAAATTGACATGGACACATAAAGTTCCCATAGCGGCACACAGCCCACTTCCTGTCTGTGCCAATTACCATCAACAAATGGTATTAAAGTTGAATTCCAATACACTACAACCTGTTGGCAGCATCTCCCTGATTGCCTTAACAAACAACCAATATAATTATTCTTATGTGTTTTGTTCAGCAAGATAATCCACAAAAATTAACCAATTTTTATGAATCATGATCTTTGAATTGAAGCATAAATGTTATATAACAGAAGAAAAAGCTAACTGGATATGGACTAAACCATGGCCTCATGACTCCAAAGTGTCTTTGGAGTCATGAGTCACTGAGTGAACGATTTCCCCTGGGTTTTACGGGACAACACTTTATGTTGCTAATAACCTCTGTATCCCATCTAGTCACTTGTTAGCAACTGCCATTTTAACACACGTAAAAGGGTGTACTTACGATCCCATTTTCCCCTTAAAGTCGAACACATCTCTGATATTACTGGTGCTTTTCTTCCAGCTGCAGATGATCTCCTTCCGCCTCATTCTGGCTCTGACGTTGCCGTAGACTCCTGAAGCACAAATGACAAGAATGATTTACACATTTAATTAAAAAACAGGGAGACTTCATGATGCATTATCTGTCCCCACATGAATGTGCTAAGCTAAAGTTAAGCCCTAAAGAAATCGTATTATGTGAATGTATGCATCTTGGCATTATGTGTTTTACTACATACTGAGTTAAGTATATACTGTATATAAACCTTTTACATGTTTCTAAATTAATCAAACCGAATTTGATTCATAATTTCATCAGCATCTCCGGCCGTATTATTCATCACCTGATATTGCAGGTTGTGTTCTGTTCAAAGGTGGAGCTAATCAGAAAACACATATGTTTTGCAATCACCTTCTTTGATATGGTCAAACATACCTGATAAACAAAGTCATTAGGGGTGGGGGTCCTAAGCCTTTCTCCCTCACCATTCCCAGTTTCCTAACCCCCCCACCTGTTTCGCTTACATAAACAATCGCATTTCCAAGACTCAGGTCAGTCCCTGCCTGGGTAAAGCCTATTTGTACCTATCAGTTACACACGATTCAAGAAGCCAGGAGATTAGAGAGGTGAAAAGCAGTGGTTAGTAAATCTTCCCAGCCTATCGTCCTGCCCTCCCTCCTTCCACCTGTGCTCACCCCTTCTGTCTGTTTGTGGGAACAGATTAGTGGCTGATTCCCTGACAGGACAAAAACTGGGTCTATTATATCCTAGAATTGAAAGGCCAATGAACTCTGCCTTACAATTTCGTCCAAACATTGACATTGAAATTATGAAAATCATGAAAGACACTGTTTCAGAAAATAATTTTCACATTTATGAGATTACATTCTGATAATATACAACTTTTATTTTAAAAATAATAATCAGGTGATAATTCACAATATAGCTGAATTCTTCAACTTTATAAGACAAGAACATTTGTATAAGTCCATTTGGCACATATATTTAACTCTAATTTAGTCCTGCTCTAAAATAGTTGTTTTGTTTCCTAAAGCTATAATGCTGCTTATGACTCTTCAAGCTACTAAAACGTTAAACATTTAATATTATTATAATATTAAATTATTTAGGGAACCAAGGTGTGATGATATACATACAATGATAGATATACAGACAAGCATACTAAAATCCAGCAAACAGGGTAAAGCGTGTAAAGAACTGACAGTAGCCTGTGTTGAAATGTGCTGTTTGTCTAAAGTCAAGAGGAGGGTTGGTCTGTCTATGGGGGTTTACTATTAAACATGTAGGTAGGATGCTAAATGGTACAACTCAATTAGGATGAGAGCACGAACAAATTTGTACAACAAAGTGAAACGAATTGTATCCATAATACCTTACATTTACAGTAAATTTACTTTGTTTGGTGTAATAAAGAGAGTTTTTACCTGACGGGCGGCGGAGAGTGTTAGCGCTGAGGTTTCCGCGGAGCACCTGACTGTTTCTCTACAGGCTGCTGAGCTCAGGAGCGGGAGGCGGGGCCTCGGCCATCAGTCAATCAACCGTGCTGCAATCAAAGACCCTTGACAACTGTATGGGCATAGATATGTCTCATAATTATTTGTGTGAACAGAAAAATAATTTGTGTGTAAATATGTGATTTGTAAATGTAAAACACCATCCACAAATGCATTTAAAAGATTTGCAAACTCACAAATAAATTTGCAAATGTAAAACGGATCTGCAAATAGGCTAAATATTTTCACAAATAAAAAAAAGATCTGTGAATATCTCTTTAACATTGACAACTTTCGATCAGGCATTTGTGAATCCATTTTGTATTTGTCAACCAAAAATGCGCTTGCGGATCTCAAATCTCTGCTCGTGGATCTCAAATCTCTGCTTGTGGATCGTCTTTTTACACACACAATTTTGAGACATACTTTCCGCCGGTCTCGGCAAAAAATCTACTCGTGTCACTCGGTTATTTTCGGAAGCCACGTGATGGCCTGCTGATGACGACATTTCCGCATGATTTCAAAGTAAGAGCATGATGGTTTGTTTAATACTCTGTTTTTGTATTATAATGAACAGCGGAACGTTAGATGCATTCTTCATCACCATCATCATCATCATGTTATAGTGATACAGTTAGTTTGTGTTAGTTTATTGGTTCAATACAGCATATATCGAGTACATTTGTATGCATTGATGTTGAAGTACAGGCTATACGCCACTTTCGGGTCCCGGGGGAACAGCTGGCAGCGAAGCAGCCCAGAGATAACTCTTTCTTCATTGTTTTTTGTGTATTCAGTCAAGCGGGTCAAAGTTACAAAGCACTTCACATTTTATTAATCGGCCTAGTTTTACCTTACCAGTGCAGATAAGGTAATCTGTAAAAAAGCACCGTATTTAGGTCAGCTTTCATAGTAAGGTTACATTAAATGTTATAATATTAATTGTGTCCTTTCTACTGTATATGCATATATTCCTGTCTATTGCTTTCATTTGTATTTCATGTTATTATGTTTATACTTGTTTCCACACATTTCACAATTTGGGATGAATGAAGTATCTATCTATATGTTTTTCTGTCTGTCTGTCTGTCTGTCTGTATGTCTGTCTGTCAGTCCGTTTTTTTAATATGAAATTCATAATTTGAAAAATGATTGATTCGAAAATGATATGCTGCTACAGTACAGTACAAGTAGCCTACTTCTGGGTGTTTCATTCAAGCTCGGCTCCGTGTGTGTGACACCGGCGCTTTTCCAGCTCCTGCTCGGAGCTGGAGCTGGAAAAGCGCCGGTTTTTCCTGTTCACACCGCAGCGGCGGCGCGTCATAGCTCCGGAATGCGGTTCACTTCCAGCTCCAAAAAATTGTCGGTCCAGAGGTAAGAGCTTCGGAGCTATGACGCGGCGTCGCTTACGTCTCTTACGTCGAGGCGTGCAGGAAACCTTACTTTGACCATCCGTTCGCTGTTATTGATCATTGTGGAGATACATGGGCTGTACAGGTTGTCATGTCCGACTATCACAAGTAGAATCATAATGAAAAATACGCCGGTAAAATGTGCCTGTAGAAAACTGCTTAGCAAGTAGTCAGTTTAGCTTCGGTTGCTATGCTAACATCACCCATGTTATACCAGAGAAACTTTCATAACAGCGTTGTGATGCCAAACAGCGTCAATTCAGACTGACACACATTCACTTAAGGGGAACTGGGGATATGTATCAGCTGCTTGTGTGACAGTCAGACAGTGAATACTTTAGAGCCGTGTGAGCTAACCCGGAGCTAACGGGAGAATAAACTCCCGTGGAAGAGCAGCCAGCACTGCAGCGGTCGGTAAATGCCGCTGAAACACATTAATAAACAATGAACCACGGCACTCTGGAGAAAAGTATAAGGTTGGAGAAGTCGTTATTTAATTTAATCTGGCTTCGTATGATTAAAAGCAACACGATCATCGACCTGACGCAGTCCCCGGCCCGTTGTTGTTGTGGGAGAAAATCTGTGACGTCATGACGCAGCAGCGGCAGCTCTGGGCAGTTTGAACAGAGCGGGAGCTGAAAAGGGAAACTGAAGTTACCTACTGTAACTCCAGCTTCTATGAGTATTGGCGTAGCCCTCTAAGGCTATCGCTATTGGGTAATCCCCCTGCGCACCCGCGCAGCACTGAAAACACTTGTAGTCCACGCCCGCCCGCAAGGTGGGCCCCACCCTCGGGCTCCCTTCCGGTATAAATAGGAAGGAGGCCCGACAATCTGCTCCCACACAAAAACCTTTTCTTCAGCTATTCGTGGAGCCAGTGGGGCCCAGAACTTAGAGGGCTACGCCAATACTCATAGAAGCTGGAGTTACAGTAGGTAACTTCAGTTCTATTTCGTATATGGCTTTGCCCTCTAAGGCTATCGCTATTGGGTTAAGGGCGAAGCAAGATGTAGTCTGCGCCCCACTGGGTCGCCCCGGTACAAGAAGCACAACCACACCTGCTCAGATAATAACCCATGCCTATTGCGCCATGCGAACGGTGCATCACAGTCCCTGGAATATATCATAACATGAATATTTACCATGAGAGGACGAAGGCTGGGAACAATACATACCCGTCCGCTGTGAGAAAGTAGAGACGAAAAAGTCACACTTTGCCCAGTGACAGAAGGAGGGGGAATAGCAGCTCTCTGTGTGCAGACAGGCAGAAGAGCGCACAGCTGGGTCCCCAACATCACACACTCTGACAAGACATTCCGTACGAAATGTGTCAGGGGAAAAAAAGGGGGACGTCCCTCTCATAAGAGGGAAATACAGGCCACTCTCCGTGTGCCGAGGCAGGAGAGAGGCGCACAGCTGGATCCCTGACGTCACTCACTCTGACAGGACACTCAGCACAGGGTGTGTCAGAGAGGAATGGAAGACATCCCTCAATAAAATTGAATAAATGAACAGGGAGAAGACCAAGAAGCAGCAGTGCAAAAGTCTTCCACTGACATTCCTCCGTGCAAAGCCGTGGAGGAGGAAACATTCCTCTGGCTTTGAGGAGGGGGAAAGAAGCCAGCCAGGGTGATCACTCTTGACTTAAAAAAGTTTGTGATGACCTTAGCCTTAGGCATGAAGCCGGTTTAGCATAAACGGCTGTCCTCCCTGGCGATTGAGGTAGGCTGCCGTGGCCTGTTGGCTGGGCGAATCAACACATGTTTGATTGTACAGCAACGGGGCGAAGTGCTGGAATACTTCCCAACCCGGAGAACAGCTCCAGCACATTTACCCCTGACGCACGGGGTCGGTGCGTGGGCGAATTAACCACCTCTGGAGACCCCTCCTGTGGGGGAGACCCCGGGGAATCCCCACGTGATCAGCTGACGTCATGCTGAGCAGCTGTATCACGGAGAGGGCTGTCACCACGCTGTGGGATGTGACACGCTGGATAGGGAGCTGTCAGTTCCTCCACTCGCTGCAGCGAGAGCCGCACTCTGTTGCTGAGTTTTATTCCACTCGCAGATAAATGAATGTCTGGGGGGGAAGAGGACAACTCGAGCGAGCTATGCAGTTTAT